AGATATTCTTCATGGGAGAGGACGTGAGGGAGGCCAGCCGCCGCCAGTCCATTAAGGCCCATGGGCGGCTGCCCCACTTCAGGTTATACCCAACCAGCCCATTTCTTTTTCCTTGTGTATTAAAGGCTCAGGGGGACCTCCGTTGCGTTCCTCCTCAACAATCGTGGTTAAGGTCTCCGTGGTCCCACCACGCACAGAGCTGTCAACCCCATTGAGTCGGGATAGGATGATCCGTTAGGAAATGTACTGGGTTTTAATCCTACTGGTGTCTGCCTAAGGTTTGTGTAACTTGCAATGGATAATCACACCGAACTGATGAGGTGGTGGGATATCTCTTGGATATATGAGCACACCCCTTGTCCATTAGGCGCAATTGCCTATAGCAAGTTCCTTAACTCTTATGTGGACACCAGAACAGGGTTCCGACCGTCAGGTTTAAAATTAGAACATCCTCTGCATTATTTCCAACACAGCCCCAGGAATACTTCCAACAAATTCCTTGGACTTCCAGCTATCCTCTATGTTTCTCTCCGTCCCCACAATGCATGCATTATCATCACAAACTCTCGTCGGTTTGCATTGGAAGGAGGGAAAGAGTGTGACTTAACAAAATTGGAACAAAGCTTGGCGCAGCTGCCGTAACCCAGTTGACCTCTGTCAATGAATAACCCCGAAGGTTAAGGAGGAGGAAATTCCCACCTAATGAGTAGCCGGATGCCTGGGAGGAGAAGCTAGCGATGATTCTTTGCAGGCCAAGGGAGATATTTTTTTCTCTCCCACTGTTAGAGCGGTCTGAAGGGACAACGTTTGGCTGCTTCGGTCTGTGGAGAAGACAGGCGCTGGGCTGGTATCCGATCAGCTCCCAACCTGGCCCATTTGCTGCGTATCAGCAAAGAGGAGCAGGGAACTGTGAAGGCCAGCGTTTCACCTTGAGCTAATCTGTGTGTTTCCAGTCTGATCTTGAGTAAGTTGTTGTCTTTTTATTATTCCCAAAACAGCAGGGCCAGGTGGGGCTTCAGGGGTACAGGAGGCGCAAAGAATCATAGAAAAGTTGGAAGGGGGCCTACGAGGCCATCCAGTCCAACCCCCTGCTCAAGGCAGGAATTACCATCAAAGCGGATCTGCCAGGGGATTAAGTTTTGGAGCACTCCCGAACTCTCGAGGTCACTGGCTCAGAGCAACTAAAACAATGGAAAAGGAGGAGGAAACCACTTAGCTTCTTAAAAGGTGCGAGAGTTTTACTCTGCCTGCAAATGTTGGCCCTTGATGACTTTTCGCGTCGCTCGAAAAGCGTGCTTTGCTCATCCTCCAGTGGACTCTTGACGCTTTGCGTGGCCATAGAATGGCTTGTGGGACTGAAGCATGTCTCACATTTAAGTTCTAAAAGAATAACGAGATGCTTTTCTCATAGAAGGAAACGTTCGAATGGTTCCGACTTTTTTAAAACAGAGGCCAAATGTGTGCATTCTATTTTGCCCTGCTTGTTTCAGAGCTGCATTTACTACTTCCTTGCAGTAATTAATCCGTTGCATCGGGCGAGTTGATTAAATGTTTCCCATCTGTGCTTTTTCCTCCCACCAGACTACGTTTCAATTGTATTCTCCTTGGGTCAGGATCTCCGTCCCCTGATTTGTTGCCTGGACACATGTTCGGAGGATGCTATAAAGCTATTTAAATAAAATGTAACATTATTAATATGTATGAATTCATTTGAAATCTGGAAGTTGCTCTTTGTATAAAATTGGGTGCATGGAGTGTTCTTTCCGTGTCACTGTGGATCAAGAGCAGTGTGTGTGTGTGTGTGTGTGTGTGTGTGTGAATTGTGGAGATTTTTGGTCAAGTGCCATTTCGACTCACACACCCCATGAATGTTCAACTGTGCAAGATTTTGAATCAACTGATAAGCATTCTGTGACATCACAACAAGCGAACCAACTCAGTCTGGTCTCTGTCTTCACGATGCATTCTGTGACATCACAACAAGCGAACCAATCGGTGCCAGAGGCTCTGTTGCCACACATTGTTGTTGTTATACTGCCTTTTCTCCCAAATTAACTCAGATTAAAAGAATAAAATGAATTAAAAATAGAATTAAAAACTCAACAAATTAAGCATTAAAATACAACCAATAGGTATGCTAGTTAAAATACAACTGAATAATTAAAAGCGAGCAAACCTTAAGAACTATCTTAACTTTTAGAAAGCATTAGGGACTTAAACGTGATTATTAAAAGCCTGCCTTGAAAAGATAGGTCTCCAGCTGTCGGTGAAAGAATGAAATGGAGGGGGCCAGCCTGATCCCCCAAGGGAGAATCAATCAATCAATCAATCAATCAATCAATCAATCAATCAATCAATCAATCAA